GGACAATTAGACACACACTCCATGCATAAACATGATGATGATGTATCAATGGTGTTAATTGAAAATATAGTTCTCATATGCACCTTTACACATTATTATGCATGAAATGTACATGACCATGATGATCCTATTGTGTTGATTGAAAGTCCATTCTCATGAGAACACATGAACTTGGTGTGAAAGTTATTCTCACATACTAATTATGATTCTAAAGTTGAAAGTACATTCTCACTTTAATGAATCTATGAGCTATTTTGATGAATTGTGAACAAAGGGCAAAGTATTCCTTCACACATGTAAATACAATTCAAAGACTAATTATGTATAATTTGAGAAATAATGCTAAGCACCGAGTGGATATGGGCAATGAGGTAAAGGCCCTTCTGCCAATATAAGAGGTTGGGTCATCTAAGTGAACTCATGAGATGGAAGCTCCTCCGCCAATGCAAGAGGTTGGGTTTCTAGAAACAATCTCCCTATCCCATAACTATGTGCCAACATAGGACTTTAGCTAGTTGATCCACCTTATAACTATACATTTTAGTTCTACCTTAGGCAAGTAGGACACCTTCTTTCGGTGTGGGGTTACACGACACCGAATTTCATGTAGCTCACATGGTCTATGTCGGTGACAACTTTTCCTTATATAATAAAGATAATGAATGAGACATGAACTATAATATGACTTCTTAATGAGTTTTACTTAGTAGGAGTGGGGGTATGGAACTTCACTTTTACATTGCACAAGCAAACTTAGTAGGATGTCATGGGATGGTTCCTTTATATTATGATGAGATTTGCAATGCATGCATGTATATTGAATGGATAGTTGTTATGAATGACTTTCCTTATAATTCAAGTAATGTACATGACTATTTCCTTATTTGTGACAATTGATTATAATGAGGTCTAAAGATGAAGTGCATGACTACGGTAGCTTCAAAGGAGTACTTGTAGGGTTGGTATTATGGCATGCTAACCACACATTGCACAAGTGTTCCTTCTGGGTTACTAAGGTAATGGCTTTACTATGAAATGAGTATAAATGTGATTTTGGCTTGTGTTGTACATTGTAAATGCATGTTAGTTACCATATATTGCACAAGTGTCTCTTAGGGATTGCTACTGTGATGATTACTTAATGATGAGATGATCTTGATATTTGACTTTGTATTACTTTATGATTGGAGGCTATGTATTGTGAAGATTGGGATTTGTGTTATGTTGATGTTGGAGACTATGCTTGTTATTATAATGATATCCTCATGTTATAATGAAATGTATGTGAGTTGCCTTATTGGTTGTATTCTCCAACTATTTCAAAGATGATTGTTAAAAAATGGCATATAGCATGATTTCAAATGAAATGTCCCTTTATGCTATGCACTATCCTTGCATTCAACTCACAAAAAAATTGCAACGTTGGGCCCGTGCTTGCACGGGCAACTCTTACCTAGTCTCATTTAGAAATGCTTATTTACTAACGAATTGGATGAATTATATGTTTTTAGCTTCCACAAATATCTTATTCAAGGACTCTCATTTTTATTTTATTGTTGTTTGCTTGTTTTGAATGGATACTGGACTTTATCAACTCACTACACTAGCTTCCATCTTTGTAGTTATCTGCTAATTAAAAAGTGTAAAAATTTTAAAAAATTTAAAAACAAACTAGTTTTTATACTTTCACTACCATGAGCAAAATATATTGTGTAAGTTTTTACAGATTTAGCTGGCTGTATGTACTGTAAAATAACAAAAAAACGATATTGTAACTTTGCCTTCATGTTGAAATTATATTAGACGATATCATGACGTAGAGGCGTGCATTATTTGGTTTTTTGGGGTTTCGAATTTTAAAAAAATAAAAACCAAAAAATCAATATAAATTATTAATTACATGTATAATATTTAGGTTTAAAATTAAGTAGGAATTAACAATTTTCGTCCCATTTTAGTTATTGCTTTTCATATGATTTAGTTTATATTTTCTGTTTGGA